CGGCGCTGCGGGGCAAGACGGTGCTGGACGTGGGCGCGGGCACCGGCATCCTCAGCATCTTCTGCGTCCAGGCCGGCGCCCGGCGCGTGTACGCGGTGGAGGCCAGCGCCATCTGGCAACAGGCCCGGGAGGTGGTGCGGCTCAACGGGCTGGAGGACCGGGTGCACGTCCTGCCGGGGCAGGTGGAGACGGTGGAGCTGCCGGAGCAGGTGGACGCCATCGTGAGCGAGTGGATGGGCTACGGCCTCCTGCACGAGTCCATGCTGAGCTCCGTGCTGCACGCGCGGGCCAAGTGGCTGAAGGAGGGAAAAGGCGCGGCGGCCATGCACGGCTTTGCCTTCTGGTTCCAGGTGACCTTCCCAGGAGGGGACGCGGGGAAGCCCCTGGTGCTGTCCACCTCGCCCTTCCACCCGGCCACGCACTGGAAGCAGGCCGTGCTCTACCTGAACGAGCCGGTGCAGGTGGAGCAGGACACGGACATCTCCGGGGAGATCACGCTGCGGCCCTGCCGCGCCAACCACCGGCTCCTGCGCGTGCAGCTGCGCTACAAAGTGGGCGATCAGGAGGAAAGGGCCAAAGACTTCGCCATGGAGGACGAGCAGTGGCTTCCCTCCCAGCAGCTGCCTCCCGAGGAGGCCGGGCTTTCCCGGTAGAAGCCAAGGGGGGGTCGCCGCAGAGAGGGAGATCCCGCAGGCCACTCGGATGGGGGCCTTATGTTCTGTCTGCCTTTCCCCGCCAGGCTCCTGGGGGGAGAGAGTGACCTCACTCTCCCTTGGAGGAGAAATGACCCTGATGCCCCCAACGATGAAAACAGCGTGTTTGTTAATAGGCTTTTGAGCCTCACGAGTATGTGGTCCCAAGCACTTGTATTTCTATTTTGTTTGTTTGTTTGTTTCACGAAAGAAAAAACACGTAATAAAATGTCAGTTTATGAAGTTCCATGCACACCCTGACCCCTCACACCTTATTTAAACCTGAAGCCTCGGAGACGGGTAAAAGGGTGTATAGTTAGACGTCGTACATTTCCCGTCTGGCTTTGCTGTCTGCCCAGAGCCATACCCCTTCATTCCCTGAATTCCCTCCCTTCCCAGGGCCTCTAGGCTACAGCACTTATCCTACTGGCTGCCAGAGGGAGGAGGGGAGGAAGTAGTTACAATAACTCTGTTCTTACACTTACTAGTAACTACTTCCATAGGGTGCTCAGGGTGATGAACACACCGTTAAGTAAAAGAGACTTCATACATAATTGTGCAGCCGATCTAAGAAATCAAGAAAAAGACGGGAAAGTGAAGTGGTAGAGAATTTTCTTTTTTAATTTTTGTCTTTACTGTTAAGGTTTCATCAAGAAACTGTCCCATGTATTTTCCATAATTTTATGAACAGGCCGAGAGGTCGTTTCGGAGCCAGGCTCAGGGCCTCTTCCTCCCCATGAGTAAATCAGCTCAGCTCACTAAATTAAAGGAATATTTTCTCAGCTAGAAGGGTCCAGCCCTCCTTTAGACTCCCTCATTTAGGTGGGTCATCCGACTTGGCCTACTTAAACCCAGCGCAAGTTCCCTTTTTTCTTCTTAGCTCAGCCAACTGTGGAAGTTGTGAATTCAGGGAAGTCATTTGTAATGAAGTGTGAGTCATGTCATCAAATTTATTTCACCGATGTTCACCCCCACCCCCCCCATCCCTGTGGCAAATAAAACATTGGCATTCTGTCTTGAGAGATGAACTAAGAAGTCTCGTGTACTGTCTGAGTGATACCACTTTGGCCTGGTAATATGCTCAGCTCTTAAGGAAAGTGTTAAAGCCCCTTCAGAGTGTAGCTTCAGGGTCATGCTGAGTGTAGGGTTTTGTGAAAAACGGGTCCTCTGAAGTACTCCACCAGTTCTGTTTATAATGCGTTTTCTGCCCCTGATTCAATGCATATTAAAGCACTTAAGTATCATAACTCATTTGGTGACCACAGGAATATCTGCCATTATGAAGGGAAACAGAAATGTACACAACCATAGACTTGACAAGATCCTCCAATAGCAAGCAGTACAATTCTAGCTGCTGTCATCGATGTGCAGATAGTTAACAGCCTAGGACCTAGGTGAATGGTGCAGCCACTGCGAGCCAGGTGTGGTTTAAGCTGGGGCATAAGCAGCTGCTGCTTTTAGGGTCAGCTGTGTTTTAAGCCAACATTTATTTCGGATTTAGTGTATAGTTTTGAATCAAGTTCTGGTGTGTGTGTTTTTCTGTGTTTTTTGTTCGTGTGTTTGTTGTTTTTAACTTGTTGGAATAATTCCTTTGCTGTATGGGCCAATGAAAGCACCTTCCAAGTTCTACTTTTAAACATACGGTTTTCTGAATAGATGAGTCCTACAGAATTCTTACTATCAGTATAAGCACACAAAGCAAACACTAGTTAAAACTTTGGATAATTCTAGAAGTAAAAGGTATTTCATAATTAGGCAAAGTAGGCTTTAAAATCCCTACTGTCGCTGTTGCCCCCAAAGAAAAATGACTTAGCATAAAAATACAGTTACTAACGCAATTAGGAGGCAGCACAGGCCAGCGGTTAAAGGCCTGGACCCTGGAGCCAGACAGCTCCTGCTGCAGCCTCAGCTCCACATGCGGTGTGACCTCCAGCAAAATACCTACCTGCTCTTTGGTGCTCTCATGCAAATTGGGGAGAACAATTGGAAGGTGAGGGTACCCATTAAAATACAAGCACACAGCACCTGGAATAAGACCTCGGTATCTCCCGGCTGCTGTCATTATGGGATGTAATATACAGGCTGGAGCAGTTGGACACAGACGAAACTGGCTGCCAAATAAGTATCGAACATGGTGTTTGTACAGGTCTTGGTTGACAGCCTCCGCATGGCTGTCTATGACACGCAATGTGTGACCGGATTCCAGCGGACCCAAACGAAGCCCGAGTCCTTTGGCGCCAGGACACTTGCAGGAGGAGGCGAGTGGGAGATGCATCTGCCCCCAGGCGCTGTCCAGTCTGTGTAGGAACTGCTGCTGATGGCCTAGGGCCCTGGGAGCTACCAGCCCCCACGCAAGGAGCCACCAGCCCCAAGGATGGGCACAGGTGAAGATCCACTTCAGCACTGAAACTTTCCAAAGATTTCCTCCAGTTCACACGGTCACGGTCCCTGTAACAAGCACTCAGGATTCCAGCCCGTGAAACCTAGTTTCTGCCTCCAGTGAGGTGTGTTCAGAGGATCGGCCAGACCATTAAATAAACAAAGGCTAATGGGGTAAATAGTGGGGTGGGGTGGGTGTTGGGGGGACAGGCATTTATCTTCAGTTTACATGCTAGCCAAAGGTCACAGATAATGAATTAGCCGAAGGTCACATAGCTAATTCTTGGCAGTGAAACAAGTCTTTCAATTCTTTACCCTAAACAGAATTTTCAGTTAATCTGTGTGTGCTTTAATTTTTTAAAAAATAAGTACATACTGCCCGACCAGCATGGCTCAGTGATTGAGTGTTGACCTGTGAACCAGGAAGTCAGGCACATGCCCAGATTGCAGGCTCCATCACAGTGTGGGGGGTGCAGGAGGCAGCTGATCAATGATTCTGTCTCATCATTGATGTTTCTCTCTCCCTCTCCCTTCCTCTCTGAAATCAATAAAAAATATATTTTTAAAAAATACCTCTGGAATGTTGTGTGTTTTTTTATCTTGTGACGAATGAAAGAGGAGAGTCCTTACTTGAAGAGTCTCATCAGAGATCCACCTTCAGTGTATAGAATCTCAAGATTGACAGATAGTAAGCACTCATTGAAATGAGACCTGTACCTGCTTCCCTAACAGACCTGAGGAAATGGGGCACTTTGGAGGCCCTCGGGCAACTGAGTCCTCAGCACAGGACCACAGTGAGGTGAACTCTGCCATTCCGGCTACACATACCTGGTGCTGGACGCAGAGAGGTATCCGTGAGGCATTCATTCAGTTAATCACTTAATAAACACCAACTCTCTAACAATTCAGTCCTATGAGAACTAAGTCAGTCCTGACCTCGAAGAGCTGGGATACAGTAAGGGAATAAAATGACCTACATCATTAATTTGCATACATCCTTTAGCCCGGAAAGACCTCCTTCCAACTAAACTTTAACCTCTGTGAAGCAGGGTCCAGAAGCCAGCCCTCATGTCAGTTCCATCCTTAGAATTTCTTCCAGGTGCAAAAAAAAATATTACCTATCATTGCATAGATAATGGGACCTCAGAGGAAAATTCCTCTAGGGTGATAGTTCCAGAAATAAATCTGTGTCCTGTAAATAACTGGTTTATTTCAGCTAATGGACGCAGTCCTTCGGGTAGGTGGTTCCTCTCCCATTGGCTCCTAGGGAACTGAGCCAAATTTATGACTGGCTTGTGCTCTTTTTAGCTTTATATTTGGCTCCACTTCCATACCCCTGGTTTTTTTTTCCTGATTTATTGCCCTTCTCACTTATAATAAATATTGCATGTTTTGTTGGAATTTATGTGCCTTTGTTCTCTTCTAATACTTTTTGGCATTAAAATATGATCTTACTTTCCGGAATATCTGCAGAAGTTCTGAGGACAAGGAGGTGAGAGAGAGGATTCTGGGATATGTCCCTTCGTGCCCTATGGAATGTGGTGTCTCTGATTGCTCAGATGGACGGGTAGTTGATTGGATCCCATCCTTTTAGCCAACCCACAGCATTTCATGTTTGTAGAGTCAAGATTTCTGAACGTGTGAAGAATTCTGAGACGTGTAGACCACGTTGAGGAAACTTAGAACGTTCTGCAGCATCTTTCTAAGCCTAGACTAAACCCTGATCGGATCTTAACCACAACAGGAAGGAACATGGGAGATTGCCAAGCCCGTTCCAAAAATGTGTCAAAAATCCTTTAAAGTGATGATAAGGAGGAAGACAGTGCAAGGAGACTAAGTCTCAAACTATGGTGCGTGTTCGTAGGGAAAAAAAACGTTTGAAACAAAGAATCCTGGACCTAACTAAACACAAGGACAACCAGTTTACTTAGATGTCAATCCATTGACTGTTCGACAAGTAGGTGTCCACCAGTCTTCTCTTCCCCCATCAGACCCGAGTGGACAACATCCACAACATTGCCAACAGCCACTGAAGAAATTACAAACCCGTGCGCTCTCCAGTCTGTGCCAGGAGAGCATCCCTGGGCTCGTCCCTGTGGGGTTAGCATGAGTCTGCATGTCTTCCCTTGGGGTGGGAAGCAGACAGGCTGATCACTCTAAATCAGTGTTCTGAAAGGCTAAGCTCACCAAAGGCATGCTTTATGAAGGGCTACAGTACAGGGCAACAGCCAGAGGGAGGCTACATACATGCTCTCCCAGAATTTTACTGAAAATATTTTGAAAATCCATTTATTTCAATAGCATATTTTACATTAGGAAAGTAATGCATGCTGATTATAGCAAATTTCAGATGACAGAAACATGGGAGAATACATAAGAGATCACCCATAGTTTCACCCCTCAAGTATTTTCTATTCCAAATTTTATGTATGCTTGTTTTTGAACTTCACAAAAAGTATATCATGCTGTCTTCCGCAACCTTAATTTACTTCACTGTAACACCCCATGTTTTATATTCCAAGCAGCACCTCTTACCACCTGAAATTATTTTGTTCATTTCTTGATCTCTATGCTGAGTTTCTCCTAAGAAAATCTACATTTTATGGAGCACAGAATCCTCTTCTCTCTGCTGCACTTGAGAAATTAGTTACTTAATGAATAAATGTTAAATTAATATGGTCATACATGCTACCTTACATACTGGTCTTTTCATACCTTTAGGGTTGGTTTCTCTAAGTATTTTGCTTATTTTAAATTTTAATAACGTCCAATAGATTGCCTTCTGGAAGGTTGTCAAAATATATATTTCCAACAAAGATATATGAGAAAGCCTGTTTCTTTATATTCTCTCACTTAGATTTTTTTAATCTTATT